ATGTTGAGCTTCATAAAAAGCTTCTGCCGTTGCCTGACTGTGGCACATATGCCGGCGCACAGTTAACATCTGTCTTTCTGTTAACTGTCTGCCGACCTAGGAAAAATAATAATAATGACATTAAAATGATCATAAAATGGAGAATCAAAATGTTCTTGATATTTACACACAAGAGGTTATTCTACATTGAGTTTCAGAACTCAAAACTAACTCCCCAGTATAAAATATGAATTATTATTTTCTACCCTTCTGAAATGACTGTATTTGAAATTGGGAGAATCATGATGTTACAATTCTCCTCGACACTCCCCCTTAACTCTTTCATCACCAGTGTTTTTTTCAGCATTTTAGATAATTTTTACCAAAATTTCATGGACCCCAGAATAATTTGTTGTATGGATATCTGCACAAACAATAAAGATCAGAGTTTCTGCTTTAAGAATAAGTTATTCTAGCTTCATGCATTCCCTTTTTATTCAAGTGGGTAGGTTGGGTAGGTTTCATTAAAAAAAGCAACATTTTGAACGAAAAAGCTGAGAAAATCATGTTTTGTATATCCTGTATATCCTGATCAGATACTGAATGATGATCAAAACACAGATCGAGTAGATCATGTTTATCAACACCCCTGATGCTTGCATAGACTTAAACCTCTTCACGAGCTCAACATTCAGTAATGTTAAAAAGCTTTGATTTACAACCCAAAGAGCCAAATTCCACAAAGAGGCCCAGGATAACAAGACAACGTCATAAATCTGTCCAGGATACCCTGAAGCCACGAGCCTGAAGCAGACCTAACCAACCAACTCTTTCACAGAACAGCTTGCAACATTAACACAAAAGAACACTTATTGATAATCCCAAACCAAGGAAGGAGTTTGTCAAATTTGGGGCATCAGATGCACAGCTGACCATCACATGTAAATCCATGATAGAAATCATGAGCTACACTTCCTCGGACAGGTTTCCCCCACCCAGGACAAAGACCAGGCTCCTTCTAGACCTTTTGACCTTTTTGTTCCTCACAAAAGGGCCTTTCGCACCGTGGGAACCTTTTCATAGTACCAGAACTAACTGTGGAACTACCCACTTTTTGGCGTTTTCGCACCGCCGGAACTGGGAGCGATTTTAGTACCGGACTGCCTTTTTCAAGAACCAAATTAGCTCCTACTCCGGAGCAGGGTCTAACCAGCACAACTGGTACTAATCATGATGTAAGTAGACATTGATTGGCCAAACGCGTATGAAAACACTGATTTAGAAGATGAAAACCAAACAAAGTTAAGTCTGACACAGAGAAAGGGACCGATGGCCGGCCAGCCGGGGTTCGTCTTTATTTAAATTTATGTGTGTGTACTTCTAACATGTTTGGTTGGTAAAATAAATGTTGTAAATTCAAATCAGAGCGTCTTCCGTGTCTGGAATGGATGTATTCTTGAGTCTATAAGGTAACAATAATATAATAAGATAACTAAAATACAATTTTCATTGACTAAAACTAGACTAAATGTCATCAGTTTTCGTCGACTAAAACTAGACTAAAACGCTCAGACTTTTAGTTGACTAAAACTTGACTAGACTAAAAAGAGTATGAACGTGACTAAAACTAATAAAAACTAAAATGACAGTTTCACACAAAGACTAGACTAAAACTAAAATTAAAACAGGCCGCCAAAAACAACACTACTTACACGCCAGCTGCTCCTCTAAAACCATGAGAAGAAACGCCATCTAGTCTAATCACTCTTCTTGCTGGCTTCTACTTTACTCTTTTCTTTTCCGTTGAGAGTTTCGTGTTCTGAGTTAAGTTTTGCCGCAACGCTGCGTCTCCGAGTCCGACCTCGAATGCCCATCTAAAACTTCAACCAGCCCACAACTCCGCAACTTCAGCCAATCCCTGACTTCACTACAAACGACCACTGAACTTCCAGCCAATCAGCAACCTTGGGAAACCCCTTACTGCAAGGACTACAACAAAAGGGAATCCCTTAACACAAAGGCAACGCAAGTACAACCTCCAGATTCTAGCTGAACGGGTGCATTTAATATAAAGTTTATAGCATCATTGAGAGACTCAATGCGAGGGTTAATTAGATGATTGATGGTTGTTCAGGTCTATGCAATTGCATATATTGCTATAAACTTGGGATTTCATATTTTCACTCTTCTAAACTCATTCTTTCCTTACTTTCTCTCTTTCTGCAACTTGTGTGAATGCATGTGTTTATGTTTTAGATTAGATTACATATCTTAGATTTATCCAATAAAGTCTTATTTATATTGAAAAGAGAAGTATCTTGTGTTTTGTGCTTACAAGTTAATATCTTAAACTGCTGATCTTGTTACTGTGCTAATTAAGTGTTTTCACTATATTTTGGATTTTAATATCCATTGCAGAGTTTATGTTATACGGCTCGTTCAATGAATCACTGGCCGACTCAGTGATCAGCCATAGAACAGCGATTCTGTTTAAATTCCCTATAAAACTATAATTGATTCCCTTTGAGTTAAATTGACCAGTTTCCCTTACAACACTGATCAGCACACATTCATTGAGCACATCAAATATGGTAAATGGAAGCTCAATCATACTTGCCTAACATGCAAGAACAAACCTCATTGATTATTGTGCATCAAGCAAGTGTGGGTGACCAATTTGATGTGCTCTTTATGTGCATTGATGTATATGCGTTATTGAATGTTTATATGTGAATAAAAGCCTAAATTAAGTCTTATTAAATCATATAAAGCGATTGTGTCTCTTCAGAAGGCGTGGATTAAACCACTTTATTCCTATGGATTACTTTTACAACGTCTTTATGAAGCATCATATTTTTGGTGTAATGGACCTCAGAGGCACAGAAATCTATCATTAAAAATCGCTTCATTTGTGTCGAAGATGAACAGAAGTCTTATTGGTTTGAAACAACATGAGGGTGAGTAAATGATGACAGATCAGTTTTTAAACTTTTTAATATGGTGCACCATTTACAATGCCTGAGGACAACATAGTAGTCTTCAATACTATGAAAATCTCAATTAAACAAGACTTTAGAGCTCAGCTGTTAGAGAAAAAAAAGGCACATTACCACTATTTCTTCCCATGAGCCTCTGTAGAAGATTGGGCCGTTCACATTCCAATAGGCACAAAAACACTCCAGGCGGCCCAGCTTATGTAGAGGATACATACAGACACGTTAGACACACAACCACACCTGTACTATGAGATCTTGTTATTATTACGGAAAATAAGACTCTGGTTGTTTACCTTGTAGATGATCTTGGCTGCTTCATTCAGAATGCAAGGCTTCCAGTTCTCATCTGCTGTCTATAAGAGAGAAAAACTGAGGACGTACTGAAAGACCAGAGCATGCAAATAAGAACTGCTCATTTCATATTAATCGTAATTGCAAGTGGTCTTCATTTTGTGACATTTATATGAATGTTTTGAAAGAGCACCTGTAGACTGAGTTCTGAAAGAGTCATGCCCATAGCAAGAGGTCTTTGAGGATCTGATACCTGAAGCACAGATGGAAAATGAAAACATCTCATCTAATTACACAAATCTTCATTAATATGCAACACATAGGTTCAAAAATACACATAACTCAAGAGCTGAACTGTATGGAGAGCCAACACTTACATCATCCTCATATCTGATGTGAATGCTGGTGATTTTGACCTGGAGGTTTTTGATAACCTGTGTAGCCAGTTTCTCAGCAAATGTGTCCTTCTTTTCTTCCTGGGGCTTCTCTGAAATTAAAAATTTAGTAAACACAAAGGGTTTATCATAACTCCATCCGATTTGTCATTCTAATGCCTTATACAATCTAATACTTATGCAAACATATTTAGTCCAACAAACAGAATAAAGCTATTTAAAATATTGCTCATATTTGCCACGATCACAGTCGTTCACAGTCTCCCTGGGCCACCCACCTGCTTTATGTTCATACTTTTTAGATCTCCTAAAGGGTTTTTTACGCTTTTTAAGCTTACGTCCTTTGTCTTACCGAGTGCAGCATTGGGAGAGAGAGAAAAGTTGGTGAGGTAGAAAAGAACTAGTGCAGCAATAAACACACACACTTGGATTAAACAAACATAGAACTGCACCAAAGCACACCAAGTAGTGGGGAAGAAAAAAATGTCTACACGTATACACCCTCAATGCACACTTTCAAATAAATAAAAAAAGTCTCCTTGAGATGAGCGTATGACTAGCCTGCTATAGGAATGGGTCTGTACATACCCTGTGGTGGATTCTTATACACATAACTCTCCAGATTAAACACAAACTCTCCAGCCTGAGAGCCTGCCGTCCATCAGATGCAGCACAAAGCAAACACACACAGCTGTTAGAGATAGAGATCTGAATGGATGGATGGATGGGTGGGTTGATACTAGGGATGGCTCGATACCAACCGATCCGATACCAAAATCCTGAGTATCTGCCGATACCGATATCGATCTGATACCAGCGCAGTTTTTTTAAATCAGTGTAGAATTTCTATACCTCAATGTGTAAGTCGATCATCACTCTTTTGTATGTTACACACAATCTACTAAATATAGACAGTTTCATTACAAAGAAAAATAACAAACAAAAAAATATATAATCATAATCTATGACAAAAATACTATTATAAACTAGGTTAATGGATAATTCAGTAGCAAAAGTTACTCTAGAAAAATCATGAGTGCACATATTTTTTATAAAATCCTAAACTTTTAGTGAAAAAAAATACATTTTAGTGGGTAACAAAAAAAAGTGAATAAGTGTAACACTAAATCTGGTAGGCCTACACATTGCTCTTTGTATTGTTGTGAAATACATTCATGAAAAACAAGTAATATATTTATATATAAATATATACTATAGTAGTCAACATTTGAAGTGGATCAAAAACTTTCATCAAAGTTGTCCTAAAACCAAAACAATATCCTTTCTTGTCTTAGGACAACTTTGATTAACTTTTCTGATCCACTTGAAATGTTGACTACTGTATAAATTAAAATACATTTATTTTAAATGTATAGCAGAGTAATGAGGCAGCAACATATGATAGATAAGACGAACAAGAAAGGCTATTAATAATCTTTCATTGCGCAAAAGTATTATAATACTAAAGGCTCCAAATACAGAGCGGCACAAAGCGCTTATGCGCATCCCGTACGCAGAATGATGCGCTTGAAGCAAAACGGCGTCACAGCGCGCAGCGCTCCGCATAGAGAAGTTCAAAGCACAAAGTGAAGAGATATTGATGCGTAGTGTATTAAATCTGTGTGATAGTTTGAGCCTTTTCTTTTAACGGTTTTAAATCTCAGTTACTGTGCTCGTGACGAACAATTCATAGTGCTCTCTACTCCAGTCTTGTGATCTAACCAGATATCCAGTAGAAATTTACACGATTAAAAACAGCACGAAACTCCAGCAAGATATTCCTTTTATGCGAAACCATTTATCTATAATTTACATAAAGTATAACATTAGGAACATTTAATCATCTTGGAGAGAGTTTAATCACATTAGGAACATGAATGGAGGATGACAGACAGATGCAGCTGAGAGAAGAGTTTACGTCAACTTGACCTAAATATTCATCTGTACCTTACATTAAACTATGGAACGACTTCAGAACACTTGGAATATAGCGCACGAAAACTTTATTGTGCTTTATAATGTTTATGTGGCTTTCGTGGGGCTTAATAATGACACAGAATAGTATACGCACTATATCGGATTTGGATCGGTCTCGTCTGACCGATACCCCGATCCAGCAGAAAATGCCAGTATCAGAGCGATACCGATCCTGAATATCGGATCAGCGCACCCCTAGTTGATACATGAATAAATATAGGAATTAATGTAGGGATGAACTAATATTTAAACTGATGTTCTGAAATAATTTTTATACTGAGGCCATTGACAGATAAATGGGTGATATAATAAATCTATTAAAAAAAATAGTAAAAACAGCATTATTGTGAAATATTACAATTTAGAACAACTGTTCTCTATTTTAATATATTTAAAAATGTAATTAATTACTGATGGCAAAGTTGATGGCATTACTCCAGTCTTAAAGGATCATATGATGCTGCTAAAAAGAACAGTATTTTGTGTATTTGGTGTAATGAAATGTGTTTATGTGGTTTAAAGTAAAAAAAACACATTATTTTCCACATACTGTACATTATTGTTTCTCCTCTATGCCCCGCCTTTTTGAAACGCTTCGATTTTTACAAAGCTCATCGGTCTGAAAA